TGGTTAATGTCTTTCATTCAGGTTCAGCCTTGAACAATTAAGTGAAACATTGGAGCATTCAAAACGATACCGTAAGATGGTGTCAAAAATCATTGAAGCATTAAAAACATTAATATCGAAAGACGGTGTCAAGGTCAGCCGTTAGGTCAGTCGAGCGTTAAGTCAGCCGAGCGTAAAATCAATCATGCGAAAGGGGGTGGAGGTAATTCCGTTTCCGGTCTGTGAAGTTGAAGCGTATGTTTTCGTACTACTAACGTGATAAGTTATAAGTTTCAATTTCAAAAGGATACGATTATGTTTTGCTCGAATAATTGTCAAAGTAATCAATAATTGATTTAGTCTTTTCTCAAATTATTTGCATTCGACATTCTGAACTTCAGGATTCCAACATTTTATGTACAATTTTCCAAAGCAGTTCATTTCAATGGCGCTGGCATTCATAATTAGGAAAGAAATCGCACACTAATGAGTTTTGATATCAGAATGATTGTAATTTCTGCATTTTCAATGAGTCAACAACTTTTTCTCAAAACCAATCATAAATTAATGAACCTTCAATCTTGAAATGGATTCTATTGATTTCAGTCATTAGTAGGCAACATTATTATGATTGAAATTTTCAACAATTCAAAGCTTATTTAAAATTAAAATTCGCCTTTGAATTCAATAATTTACAGGCAATCTTGAATTTAATATATGTGTTTTAATTACATGTATGCCGAAACTGATTCAACTTGTATTTTGATTTCGGATAATGCATGTCGATGATGCTGTTGAAAGCAAACACTTGAAAAAACTGAAGCATAATCGTTATTGCACATTCATGTATTGATCGATGTACATAAATATTAGTAATAAAGAAAATATTTTTAATTATTGATAAGCTGAAAATCTTATTTTTCGAGAACTTATTTTATTAATTAGTTGAATTGTGCACATTGTATTGTCTCACTGTTTTTGAGTAATGACAGTAATTTAAAAGCTATACTCATCTTTGCAGACAATTATCACGGAAAATACAATTTAAATGAAAAAGATTTAACGATTCTCTTACTTATTAATTGCTGTTGCCTTTGCTTGAAAAACACATAAATAAAAGCTATCACCCATCAAAACAATTGGTACGCTAGTTGATCTTTTAAAGAGCTTATTTATAAATTTTATTAAGATGTTTTTGATGCGCTTTTTACGGATTTTAGGCTGTGAATTGGGAAAAATAGTAGTGAGGTGGCAACATAAGGTCATACTAAGAGCAAAATACAATCAAACGGAGATTGTATCAAAATTGGTTCGATTTGTGATCGGAATTCACTTGAAGGATATTGATGATGCTGTAGCAATTAGTGTTTCACCAATATCGTTTTTTCAATCAATATTATCGATATTTTTGCTGCGATATTTTATCGATATTTCCAAGCAATATATCGATAATTAAACACATGTTTTACATACATTTTGGTCAATCTTTTGGCTGTTTTTGAATGAGTTTTTTTTCAGTTTGCCTTCTTGTTTTTTATTATTTTACTTGTTTTTTTGTTTAAAATGCCTAAATACTCAAAAATATGGAAATACTTTGAAAAAGCAAAGGACAGTGACCCAAAATGTAAGATTTGTTTAAAATTGGTTAAATCTACCAACAACACCTCAAACTTAATGGCACATTTGAAGAATAAACATGGAACACTTTACGATCAACTATACAATATTGAAGACACTAGTCAAAATAAAATTGACAACTTATTAGAAGAAGTGAATTCAACTAAAAGTAAGTAATATTTAAAATGACAAATTCAGTGTTACTAACTCATTTTTTTTATACTTGCAGATGGTAGTTTGAGCAACAACATAACAATGAAAATTATTTGGTGGCTAATTTGGAATGGTCATCCATACAGAATTTGTGAACAGAGAGGGTTTAAAGAAATGTTACATTCACTTAATAGGAATTATTCACCTCCAGGAAGAAATAAAATACAGCAAATGATCGGAGATTTATATGAAACAAAGAAGATGCAGCTTCACCATTTTTTATCTACTGTTAAAGGCTATTCCATTACATCTGATGGTTGGAAAGATGTATCAAATCAAGTGTCATTTCTTGGAATCACGATTCATTTCATTGATAACTATAAATTATTTAGTGTTTGTGTCAAAGCCGATCAAATTGATACATCGAATGCAGATAATATATCCAAGATGATAACCGATGTAATTGATGAAATTGGTGTTAGTAAAGATACTTTGATGGCAATAACAACCGATGGTGCTTCAAATTATACCAAAGCAGCTAGAAGTATTGGTAGTCACATACACTGTATTGCCCATCAGTTAAATTTAATTGTTGAGGATGGCCTTGAAAACAGTATTATCTTGTCACAAATAGTCCATCGAGTTAGAGAAATAGTAACTGCATTCAAACGAAGTTCAGTATTAATGACACATTTAATGAATCTACAATCTGAAAGGGATGAAGTGCCTCTAAAAGTCATTCAAGATGTGCCAACTCGTTGGAATTCTACTTTCCATATGATCCAACGCTATTTACAGTTACATAAGGAAATTTCCATTGTGCTTATAGAACATGGTAAAAGGGACATAGATCTGTCTGATGATGATATCAAAGTCATCAGCGAAATCGCTAAAATTTTACAGCCTTTCGATGAGATGACTAGTGATATTTCTGGAGAGAAGTATATTACAATCTCTCGCATTATCCCGTTGGTTAATATCATAAAGAATATCATTACAAAAATATCATTGAGTGAGCATGTAGCTAAAAGTTTGGTGATTAGGTTACTAAATGGTATTGATAAACGGTTTGGCTACATTGAGAGAGATACTTTATTTGCTTTTGCTACATTATTGGATCCTCGGTTCAAAAAAATTGATTTCAGTTCTACCGTCGATTGTGAAAATGCTGTCAAAAAATTGAATAGTCTTCTGGGTGAAGTTGATCTTACTCAAAGACCGCCAGAACCTGAAACTGATCATGATATTTGGGCATTACACAATAAAAGAGCTAAATCAGGCACCAATCCTAAACCTGGAATCAATAGTGGTTTGCAACATTATTTAGAAAGTGAAGTGATTCCATTGCAATCTGACCCTCTTTTATTTTGGCTAAATAATAAAATGAATTGGCCTGAGTTATATAACTTAGCCTTGCAATATCTATGTATTCAACCAACTTCAGTCGCATGTGAGCGGCTATTTAGCAAAACCGGTTCAATCATTAGCCAAAAAAGAAATCGCATAAAGCCGAAAAATGTTGGAATCTTGTCATTTTTAGAGTCATTACCTGACTCTTTTATTTAAATATCTTCATATTTGCCAAAAAAAACTTAACTTGTCATAATTAAGTCATCCAAAAAATTTTATGATCTCTAAATCTCTTCAAATATTTATAATATTATCAATATCTTTCAATATCTTTCAATATTTTTTCAATATTTTTCAATAAAAATATTTTCAATAATATCGATATTTTCTCTTTCAATATTTTATTTTTCAATCAATATGTTTTCTTGATATCGTGAAACACTAGTAGCAATCAAATATTTAAAACAACTGGAATCAATGTGCATTTCATACAATATATTACCAAACGGATTTTCACGAGATCCAAGAGTAACGCAATCAAAATGGGCTACAACAAAATCCATCCTTTACTTGAGTTTAATAATGACCATTAATATCATACGCTTGATATTGTTGAGTGCCTTTGATCTACCCGATGAATGGCATCTTCTTCTTTGTAAATTTCTCTATGGCCATCCTAATGGTCGTTTCATTTGGATCTTCTGTTTGTATGCAGCTATTTTTTGTGAAGTATTAAGAAATTATTGGATATATTATATATAATATTTGACCAAAAATAGTTACTCCTACACATCCTTCAAGTTTGAACAAATAGTATATTCAAAAGGATTCAAGAGTCAAGTTTTATGCATGGATCAATTCTATTGCCGAAAATTTGTTTTTTTGTCACCAATTTAGCAATTTTTTGGGTTAGGATATTATATTGTGCTTCCATTAGTTTTGCACCAATTTTGATCTTCATTTTTCATTCAGTGTCTAAACTGCCACAAACATTGGAACAGTATGTTTTCAGTGGCTTTTGGCTTGTCATTAGTTATCTTGGATTCGTTTGTGCCATGAGCAACACGATGTTAATTGGTGGTTTAATCACAATTCAATTGTCTTACTTTTACTGTAAAGCAGCTCATGTAGCCGGTAATGTACACAATCTCGCATTCAAAAGAGGAACCTCAAATAGCGTTAACTATTTACTTGAATACAAAGCCACCGTTTTTGAGGTTATACGATATCAGAATGAAATCGAACAAGTTAATAACGGCATTAGAAACTTATTCATAGTCGCTTATTTCGGACTTTCTTTTGTTGAAAATTTCGAATTTTACATTGCATTTTTTGTACATATTGATCACGGAATCATGGACTTTTTCTTCGTGAACACTTCTATGATTGGATTCATTGCAATCGGAGCTTGTTCATATATCAATGGAGTCTTATTGATAAAGTTATAAAAGGATTTTCAATGTTTCCATTCAATAATGTTCAAATTACTTTTAGATGAACTCCTGTTGCAAGAATCTAAGGAAAGCAACTAGACACATGCAATTGAACGTGCACACATTCATAAAGGTAATGTTCGGTTTCTTCATAAAAATCTTAATTTTAACGAACTTTCGATTTTCAGGTAACTGATTTAGAAGATCGACTTTCGCGAACTGACATTGCATTCACTGTGGGTACGATGTTGGATCTAACTACTCGAATCTTTGTTATTGTGAGTATCTACTGATTTCTTTGATTGATTCATATTAACTGTGCTCTTTCTTTCCATTTTCAGTATTTGCTAGAAAACATTTGCCTCATTATGATGTTCAAAGTCAACTTCCAATGAACTTTCACAATTGAAAATTCAAAGAGACGATTAAACGTTATTATGCTTGATTGGAATATATTTCGACAAACAAGGGTAGAGAGGATGCTAAGTTATCGAAATGGTCATTAATAAATGAACAATAATAAATTTTCAGTTTCGATTTCTGCTTTCAGAGAGCACATCTATTCGAAGAGTTGATGGCTCAGGGCAACTTCAGTTTAATAAAATTGAGAGTTTTTGGCGAGAAAGTCAAAATATAGTCACCGAGTCGGGTTCCATGTGTAGAATGATAATGGTTAGGATGGGTCTGACGACCGATTAAAGAATTAAAAAGGAACTAAGAGAAATTTTCTTGATGAAAACACGTTGATTCTTTATTAAAACATGAACCCCCGATCATGACTGATCGTAATTTTTTCACTGAAATACAATAAATTCAATCCATATTTAAAGACTCAAATTCTTGATGAAAAACCATCGTCAATGAGAAAAACTAAAAAATAAAATAAAATCTGGTTATGCAGCTGAACAGAATGAAATCTTTATGTACAGTTAAGGTACCATATTTTTCACTTAACTCTTTACTCAAAGACGGTTTTACTTATCCTTCTAATCCAACAATAAACACGCAACCTGAATAACCAAAAAGTTTTTTCCCCAAAGTCAATAGTAAAAGATACGGATTCAGCTTTTTTCCCCCTACTCTGTTTGAACGCTAATTTCTCAGTAACCTGAATTCCGAGAAAGTTCGAACTATTTTTTGCGATTGTAGTTTTATCATGGCTTTCATTCTGAGTGAAAATATTCTTTAGAACCCGTTTAGTTTGGCCACAATCTTCCCGCAAAAATTTCATAGTTTGACTTAGATGGTTGTTTGACCTTTTTCCCTTCTTGATACTTTAAGTTTACCAATTTATGATCTGGGAAAGTTGGGAAAATTCTCAACCGCTGTTTAACTATAAATTGTACTGTCTGGAATGGCTAACTTCAATATACTTTCGTTTTGAAAGTTTTTGATTAAATTTTTCATTGAAAATGTTCTGCCTCGAATTGATTCGCTCTAAAAAGCACAGTTAATTTTTGACCTAAGAGCATAAATGGGTACAATTATTAACTATTAATAAAGGGTGCTTGTCGCACTTCCCCCTAAAAAATCTCAAAAACAGATGATCACAGAAAAAATGATCAGGATTTTGTGATCCTCATAGGTGTAAGCTAAAAATTTTAGGATCTTAACTAGTAAAAAAAGTGAAGATTTTTGGAGGCCTCTTTAATATTTAATTTTGAAATCAAAATTGATTACCTTGTTTTTTTTTATTTAGATCAATTAATATCAAGGATAACTATTAATTATTGATAATATTTTTGAGCAACTTCTTAGTTTATTAATTATTTGAATTATTCACAATTTTATTGTTTTGTTTTTGTACAATAACAATGATGCAAAGAGATACTCATCAAATGCAAAAATCATCAATGTATTAAATACAATTTAAAGCAGAGAGACTGAACATCTCCTTATTAATCGATGATGCCCCAACTTGGAAACAGCATAAAAGGAAGGATCTATCACTAACAAAAAAACTTGATACAATTGTTCATCTTTTGAACAGCATTTATTCAAAGTTTTATCAACATGTTTTTGGTTCAATTTTTACGATTTTTAGTTTGTGAATTTCGCAAAATCGCAATGCGGTTGCAAAAAAAGTCCATGCTAAGAGTTAAACACAATCACACGGAGATTGGTTCAGAGATATCAAAATTAATTTGTCGCGTTGTCGGGTTACGAACGTTTGTTGATGATGTTATAGCAGTAAAATATTTAAAGCAACTGGAATCGATCTGCATTTCATACAATATACTACCAAACGGGTTTTCACAAGATCCAAGAGTAACACCATCAAAATGGACTACAACAAAATCCATCCTTTACTTGAGTTTAATGACCATTAATATCATACGCTTGATATTGTTGAGTTGCTTTAATCTACCCGATAAATGGCATCTTCTTCTTGGTGACTTTTTCTATGGTCATAAAAACGGTCGTCTCTTTTGGCTCTTCTTTTTGAATGCATCTATTTTTGGTGAAGTATTTAGACACTTTTGGATATATTTGATTGAAAAGAAGCAATGGGAATCCTTCAAGTTTGAACAAATAGTATATTCAAAAGGATTCAAGAGTCAAGTTTTATGCATGGATCTATTCTATTGCCGAAAATTGCGTTTTTTTGTCACCAATTTAGCAATTTTTTGGGTTAGGATATTATATTGTGCTTCAATTAGTTTCGCACCGATTTTGATCCTCATTGTTCATTCAATGTATAAACTCCCGCATACATTGGAAAAGTATATTTACACAGGCTTTTGGCTTGTCATCAGTTATCTTGGATTCGTTTGTGTCATTAGCAACTTGCTGTTAATTGGTAGTGTCAATACAATTCAATTGTGTTATTTTTACTTTAAAGTTGCTCATGTAACCCAAAGTGTACACAATCTTGCATTGAATAGATCACAATCAAATAACGCTAACTATTTCCTTGAATACAAAGCTACTATTCGCGAGATTATTCGCTATCAGAATGAAATTGAACAAGCAAATATTAGCATTAGGAACTTGTTCATATTCACTTACCTAGGAATCTCTTTTGTTGACGATTTTGGAATTTACTCTGCAGTTTTTGTTCATATTGATCGTGGATTCATGGACTTTTTCATTGTGAACGCTGCTATGATTGGCTTAGTAACGACTGCAGCTTGTTCATACACCAATGGAGTCTTGTTGGCAAAGGTATAGAGTTATTTTCAATGTTTTCATTCAATAACGTTTAAACTATTATATTACTTTAGATGAACTCCTGTTGCAAGAATCTAAGGAAAGCAACTAAACATTTGCAATTGAACGTGCAAGCCTTCATAAAGGTAATGTTCAGTTTATTCATAAAAGATGGAAATTTAATGAACTCTTGTTTTTCAGGTAACTGATTTAGAAGATCGACTTTCTAGAACTGATATTGCATTCACTATGGGTACGATGTTGGATCTAACTACTCGAATCTTTGTTATTGTGAGTATCTACTGATTTCTTTGATTGATTCATATTAACTGTGCTCTTTCTTTCCATTTTCAGTATTTGCTAGAAAACATTTGCCTCATTATGATGTTTGAAATAAACTTTCGCAAATAAGAAGCAACTAAACAACAGAACGAACTGATTTTAACGATGAAGGCTAGAGGAATGATACACTTATGATGGGTATCAAGAAACAGTGGGGACTAATTTCATGTAAAAATACCGATTTCCAACAATAATATAAAAAAATAAAGTATTACATTAATCTACACAATCTACACATCTACTCAATATATCAAATTTTTGGTTCGAGGTTGTGGCCAAACTGAGCGGGCTCTAAGAAAAAAATTACACAGCATGAAAGTTCTGATTCAACTACATCCAGAAAAATCAGATCTCTGAGCAATTCATGGAAATAGAGGCTGGTGGAAAAAATGTATGCTAGAATCCGTGTTCAATAACATGGAGTGAGGGGGGAAACTTTTTTGTTATTCAGGTTGATGGCTCATTGTTGTTAAAAAGTAAAGAGTTAGGTGAAAAATCTGGTGCCCTGAAAAATTTGTAACCTAATTGAGTTTAATAAGAAGTTCCCCCCAATTTTGTTTTATTGAGAAGTTCTGGTTCATATGTAGAGTTTAATATGTCGAGGAAAAATCCAGCAAATCAAAGACCAGTTGAAGGAAAAAGATTTTTTCCATTAATAATAGATTTCTATGCTTAATTCGAAAGATACTCATTTTATTCAAAGATCATCAGCATTGGTATATAAATCCTTAATATTGTTCATGAAAATTATTACAAAAAGAATTTAATATCAAAATGGGAATAGAAAATTAAAATGTTATCATCTTATCGCAGCACATCTGCTTGTTGCGTCGGACATGATTTATGACCACAAATGAATTATTCAATTGCATGTTCACTTTTTATGGGATTGGCTATTGATGAGGATATCTTTATCTATGCACATGTCATAGATAACAGTGAGCGTTCGATTAAAGAAATTCGAAAAGAAGAAGATGAAATCATCAGCAAGGATGTTACTATTCCAGCTGTTATCCATGATCTTACTGATTGGCAAACTGTTTATGATAGATATCAAACCCTTTTTGGTAGAATTGAAAGTTTATCAGCAAAGGAAGAGGATTTCATGGACAAATTATCCGGTTCCTACACAAAAAATTTTCAGGATATGCTAAAAGATAACGCACAAACCCTTCGCTCCCTCACTCTCTTTATTTAAAAATTGCTTTGAAATTTGTAAAATCACTACACTTTGAATAAACTGTCATTACTTCTAGTTCAATTGTTTGCACTTGTTTTCATCATTCGTCAAGTTTTTCTCTTCATCTGCCATACAATTTGCTTACTTTGATATTTTAAGCCATTTTAAGTTATCATCAGTAATATGTCCTTTCTCCTCAACAATGTCCTTGCTTGTTTTGATTTAAAATGTTCTGACCTAGATGACTTCAGACGAAAACTGATCCCGAGGGAATACGCCTTAATCGATGATCATACTACCCATCATGGACTGATCGATCATGGCTGCAGTCTTGACGAAATTCCAGCAGGCGACCAGTGGAATGTAGATATTACGGAAAAGCTTGGTTTGGGTATCGACTTTCAACCTACGAAAGGTGATTTTTTAGAGGTTGATATGGAGCTATTTCTCAGAGAATATTATTGGACTCATCGGACTTCTAGAAAATATTTAGTAGGATATCACCATGCACCAGCCTGGAAGATGCTCGACCAGTTCAATATACCATATGTCAAAGTTCCTCTGGGTTCTTCACAGGGTACATGTTGCCACCTCCACAAACCTCAACTGAAGGTAACGAAATTGTTAAATATTACTGTGCACTTATCAACAGTAAAAGGGATGTATGAGAAACACAGGTCATGGACGCGTGCATCTGCTTCACTCTGAATTTGTATTTTAAACCTAACTTGATTTTTTAAAAATAAAATTCATCTGTATTGCAAATTTGCTTTCCACTCATCATTTCATACTAGGTTGATAAATCTAAAAAGTTGAAAACAGTTTATTTTCGAAAACATAGAGTCTTGAATGAATGAATTAAAAATATAATTAAGAATACTCTCTTTATATAAGAAATTTATTGGAAATGGTAGGTAAACATGTTTGATATCTATTTAAAACAATCTTTCACAATGCTTATAGCTGAACCTAGTGGTTGCGGCAAAACTTATCGGCTTAAAAAGTTGTTGGAATCAACTAAATCTATCAGAAAGGATCACTTGACAGTCAATAGCTCTCATTTTACCATTTTTAATGCAAATTGCGTTATTTGATTTTGAAGAATTCACGATGATCGTCACTGTTTCTCCGTAAAATATTTAATCATCAAAAAGTAAAACCCAATCACCGTGTACATAAGTCATTTTTGAAATTATGACATGAAAAAGTATAAAAGAACATGAAGCAATGATTATTACTCATGAGATGTCATCATTATCCACATATCTAAGAGATTGTTCGTCAAATGTTTAGAGTTATCTGTATAAAATTCATTTTCTTCCAGCTCCTCCAAAAGATTCTTAATATAGCCCCGTTCCGATTGACCCATACGTTGTAAACTTGGCGACATCAAATACGCGTCTAATGTACGCACCATCGAGTCAAGTGTAGCACCAAAGACAATCTTGTTGGTACGCAGCACCCAATAAAGACTAAAGATTTTGTTTCTCAATGGTGCACGTTTGACAAATTTAAGTCGGAAATTGTTGCATCTGCGTGTACCGATCGTTGATTTCTCTCTTTAGCTTCGCATGTAAAAATATAGGATCTCTATCTCTGCAATTTCATCAATTTCCGTGTCATTCCATTTTTTAAAAACATCATCCTATGAATCTTCCTCTATCACCTGTATAGGTTTATTACGCAGTATATTTTTTCAACCAGAATCTTCAGTTTCTATAGCCTTGGAATTTCCTTCATTGACCCATGTCTCCAACTCTTCTTCATAAATCTCGATTTTCGGCCATTTTGAACTTTGGAGAAGTCCTCGTATCCATCATTCTTTAATCATTTCCTTTGTCAATTCAGAGACAAAAGGCTTTCTTGTTGCCACTAAGGAGATTCGGCTTCTCTTTGCCTTTCTTTGGTTAATTTATAACATTCTTTGCTTCATGTTATATTTCGACATCTGCAAAAAAAGAAAAGATATACATTAATAAAATGAAACGAAAAAGAAAATGATTAAGGATGTATGGAAGAGATAGTTGGGCTATTCTGCATATTACGAACCCCGTTTGATTTTGATGAAACTTGGTATACATACTTATTTTGTCATGAGATTTCGATTTATGAAGTCTCTACTTGCGGAAATGCTTACTTCCGGAGATACCGGAAGTGGCTCATATCTCAGGACTGGGTATAGGTGGAACAATATGGACCACATATTTGAAGAGCTTATACAAAGTTCTATACACATGTACAATTTCATGCAAATCGGCGCATGCGCAGAAAAATCTGAGACAAAGCGCCAAAAATAAGGCATTTTAAGCAAAAATGGTTGTTCTGAGGGATATTGAGTATAGTTGAACCATGCAATAGGTGTATATGATTGGCAAAAATGATTGTCAGGCTTGCATTGTCCATGAATCAGCTTTGGTTCTTACCATGCAAAGAATTTGGCTGATTCGTACTGTGAATAATAGAAATCTGGAAAAAAGCAAAAGAAATTTTAATTGCACATCGATTCGACATGCAGCATGCCCATAAGCGATCGAAAAAGTTCTGCGATTACAGGTACAGCGAGCAGAATTCACGCTGTATAGTAGATACAATCAGACTGGGTTTGCAGCCAGGTAGGAGGCCAGCAGGGTTTGCCAAAAAAGTCATTCCTCAAACGCTTGTTAGTTCATGTAAGTTTGTAATTGAGGGGGGGTAATGAAAGGTCGAAACCCAACTAATATTTATTCTTTGTAGTCTCACAACCCAGCCTCGTTGTAACCTAAATAGACAAGACAATCCAGGATAAAGGAACTTGAAGGGATTGACTTCAACGAAATGAATCGACACATTGAAGAGCAACCCTTTTTTCTCTAAAAAATACTACAACGGCCATACGATCATTGAGAGAGTAAAGGAGGTTTATCATTACTTACTCCATTGGATGCCACT